TGCATACTTCATGTTCATATTCATAGATTGAAGCAGAGGTGAAGAGAAAATCAATGAATAAATCAACCAACAAACTGTATGTCACCACAACCAGGCCCTTATCCTCCATCACTTCCTTGTTTTATTTTCTCTTTCATGAGATGCAGACAGTTGTTTTGCATCATCTTTTGTTTTGTTTAAAAAATGATATTTATCTTCCCTTGGGCAGACATGCAAAAGCACACACAAGTACACAATCAGACAAGCACACACACACACACACAACCCCCTCGCTAAGGACGGAGACACCCCCAAAGACCCCCAGTTCAGTTTGGGGCTCCACTCACCCCCAGTTTCCTGCTGCGCATGCGGACGTATCCCTGCTTGACGATGTCGTTGAAGTTGGAGGCCATCTCTGGGACCTGCTGGGGCCTACTGAGGCTAGCATCCAGTCCTTCAGTCCTGCAGTCCAGCCCTGCACCTAGCCCTCCTCCTTCCTTTCCCCCCACCCCCCCCCCCTATTCCCCTCTTAAGTCCTGGGGTTACCTTCTCCCTCCTCTATATCAGCCAAGCCTTCCTTTTCAGATCCTGTTGCCCTCAGACCGCCCTCACTCCTTTATCGCATCTCGTTGTCCCCTCATCTCTTCGTTGCAGTCCCTAAAGAAAGTGAGAAGGAGAGAGAGAGGAGAAGAAACAGGGGATCTATTATTCATTAAAGTGGCAGGAGAGAATGGTGGTGGCTTGCAGACACACGGAACATTATCATCCATTATTCATTGCTTTGGCAGACACCATTATTGAGGGCAAGTTGGTAGCATGGCTTCTGTGACACATCATTATGTATAGTGTACAGCACAGCCTCTGTCTTGGAGTTACTGGAACTTCCATTAGAATTCGCTTGGAAACAGAGGTTCTTCTGGAGACCCTCCTTCCCAGTCAAGCAAGAAGAAAACATCAGAGTAATGAGGAGAAACTCATTTTAAGTTAAGCAAGACAGCTGTAAACCAAAGCAGACTACTTCAATAACAACTGAAATCAAAAGAATGTTGGTTGGTTAGATGATCCATCATGGAGACTTCTTGCATAAATGAGCCAGATCTGTTTGACCCAGTATTGAGAGCAGCCATGTGTTATGCAGAGCTCTAAAGTGAGGGGATGGGGTGAGGAGGACTCAAGAGTATACTTTAGTTCCAATGGCATCATTGCCCCTACACAGACATTCAAACACACACAGATGCAATTTAAGCATGCACACAAGGACACAGACAGACACACACACAACCACGCATCACGAACACCCTTGGGGGCATTGCAAAGTGAGACAGAAAGGCAGGCAGAGTGTCTCCTGTGACCACATGATGCCATCGTTAGCGTTCTGCTCTAGTGGGGCGCGGATCAGCTGTTTGTTCACTCGCACCCACCTGCAATGGCTAACAACCCATCTGCAACCACCCAACTATATGTGATAAAGTGTAAATCTGAGGCCCGTATCTGACCCTAACCCGCTAATATAGAAAATGCGCTGTAGGTAGTCAGACAGTAAAAAAAATAATTGACAGGATTGTTTTTGCCTGATTTAGATATGTTTCTGATTATAATTTCCGACATTTTGGTATGCTATTTAGTCAAATTGTCTATAATTAGATACAGTGGGGAGAACAAGTATTTGATACCCTGACAATTTTGCAAAATTCCAGAAAATCACATTGTATGATTTTTAAGTAAAAGACATGACATAAGTATTTGATACATCAGAAAAGCAGAACTTAATATTTGGTACAGAAACCTTTGTTTGCAATTACAGAGATCATAAGTTTCCTGTAGGTCTTGACCAGGTTTGCACACACTGCAGCAGGGATTTTGGCCCACTCCTCCATACAGACCTTCTCCAGATCCTTCAGGTTTCGGGCCTGTCGCTGGGCAATACGGACTTTCAGCTCCCTCCAAAGATTTTCTATTGGGTTCAGGTCTGGAGACTGGCTAGGCCACTCCAGGACCTTGAGATGCTTCTTACGGAGCCACTCCTTAGTTGCCCTGGCTGTGTGTTTCGAGTCGTTGTCATGCTGGAAGACCGAGCAACGACCCATCTTCAATGCTCTTACTGGGGGAAGATCTCGCGATACATGGCCCCATCCATCCTCCCCTCAATACGGTGCAGTCGTCCTGTCCCCTTTGCAGAAAAGCATCCCCAAAGAATAATGTTTCAACCTCCATGCTTCACGGTTGGGATGGCGGTCTTGGGGTTGTACTCATCCTTCTTCTTCCTCCAAACACGGCGAGTGGAGTTTAGACCAAAAAGCTCTATTTTTGTCTCATCAGATCACATGACCTTTTCCCATTCCTCCTCTGGATCATCCAGATGGTCATTGGCAAACTTCAGAAGGGCCTGGACATGCGCTGGCTTGAGCAGGGGGCAATTGCGTGCGCTGCAGGATTTTAATCCATGACGGCGTAGTGTGTTACTAATGGTTTTCTTTGAGACTGTGGTCCCAGCTCTCTTCAGGTCATTGACCAGGTCCTGCCGTGTAGTTCTGGGCTGATCCCTCACCTTCCTCATGATCATTGATGCCCCACAAGGTGAGATCTTGCATGGAGCCCCAGACCGAGGGTGATTGACCGTCATCTTGAACTTCTTCCATTTTCTAATAATTGCGCCAACAGTTGTTGCCTTCTCACCAAGCTGCTTGCCTATTGTCCTGTAGCCCATCCCAGCCTTGTGCAGGTCTACAATTTTATCCCTGATGTCCTTACACAGCTCTCTGGTCTTGGCCATTGTGGAGAGGTTGGAGTCTGTTTGATTGAGTGTGTGGACAGGTGTCTTTTATACAGGTAACGAGTTCAAACAGGTGCAGTTAATACAGGTAATGAGTGGAGAACAGGAGGGCTTCTTAAAGAATAACTAACAGGTCTGTGAGAGCCGTAATTCTTACTGGTTGGTAGGTGATCAAATACTTATGTCATGCAATAAAATGCAAATTAATTACTTAAAAATCATACAATGTGATTTTCTGGATTTTTGTTTTAGATTCCGTCTCTCACAGTTAAAGTGTACCTATGATAAAAATTACAGACCTCTACATGCTTTGTAAGTAGGAAAACCTGCAAAATCGACAGTGTATCAAATACTTGTTCTCCCCACTGTACATGCAGCTTCTCTTCTGTCATTATATCTTGCCCTAGAAGACTAAATAATCCCTTGCAATCCCCGAATAATGTCATAAATCGATAGAATGAATGTGTCAATCTAGTTGACATCGGTACATTTCTCTGTCATCTCTGCTTCTTTCACAGAGCAAAGATGTTTAGAGACCGGGGAGAAAATGCAATGATTTTCTTTTCTTTTTTAGAACAATGTTCTGTGCAAAATCAGTTTGACCGGTTGTAAGGAAATAGAAAGCTGTGAAAACGACCCAACGTGTTTCTGATAAGATTTCAGTTTGGCTTTGATGCATATTTTATGTGGTTGAAATACTATCCGCTTTTATGATGCTGATAAAGATAGCACCTCTACAGATGGTATCTAATTTCACATTCACATTCTCTCAAGATCCCAAGTAGAAATTTATCCTACATTTGATGTATCATTTTACTGCAAGAATTGCTTAATATTAAGGTTATGTGAGAGGTTATAAACCTACAGTCAGTGTCCAGACTTCAGTTTCCATTTAACCCATCTGAACAGTTCCCTTGATGTGCCATAGGCCTATTTGAAGTCGCCATCTTGTGACTGTCGATTTGTATAGCGCCTCACAATCATCACACATAACATAGCCAGCACTGCTATCATCCTCTTTTACCACTTCACCAAATCTTTCCTAAAAATAACTTTTCTGGCCCTCCCGTTCCCAAAAGCATTTGGTGATTGGTGTGTAGGCTATTTGGCGCGCACACAGTTAGATCCTAAAGCTTAGGCTTACACGCTAACGCCAGATTGACTAAAATAATCAAATAAAAACCTCAATGTAGCCTATATATATAAATTGCACAACAATTATATATGGATTTTTTAAGGTATTGTTTTCTCTTTATTCAACCAGCCCACCCGCCACCCACCCTTCATCCACCCAATATTTAATGACCCTAAACCCGTCCGCCCCGCGGATATAACCGCGGGGACTGCGGGTTATAAGTCAACCCACACATCACTATTCTACTCGCTGGGGCAGACATCAGTGTGGTGCATCTTCTCCCTGAGGAGCTGCCGCTAAATCTCCCTGACTACGGCGGAACAGAGACATTAAACTTTAACAAGGACCTCATTAACCAGGACAGAGCCAGGCTAATCGCTCACAGCACTGTTGGTTTAGAGAAGTGGCTCACACACACTGGGGAGGGGGCTAATACACACACACACACACACACACACACACCTTACAGACAGAAGAGATACACACACACACACACATCTGAAACACTCACACATCCAACATATAGAGCTAAACATCTGCAGACTGGCTCCACTGTGGGCCATCTGGGGATGCTGGTGTTACCATTGTGGGTCACCTAGCTTGCCAGGCTCATAACAGCATTCTAAGAAAGTAGTACCTGGCAAAGACACGCGGCTGGGAACAAGAATATATGTTGGCTGCGCAGAGGATCCTTATGTGGATGAGATTGGCTCAATGTTAGCATAGTGGGAGTGCTTGAGACACACTTGATGTGCCATTATATCTTGGAGCACAATTGGAAAGCAATTAAATCCCATGAAAGATATTCAAATGAGACAAATGTGCACCCTGGTGAGATAAAATAACTCCCAGGGCCATGCTTAGTTAAGCAGAGCTTCAATAGTGTAGGTATGGAAGTGATTGAGGAGTCAGTGGAGGATAGCACAACTCTACACATTACACATGCAGTATTGCTGATATATTCACCTATTACAAACAACATCCATGGTCAGCAATGAATAACCTGGAGAACAGGGATTGTTGTTTGAAGCCAGAGGTGGGATGGTGGGTGTGTGTGTCTGTGATGGGAACATCAATAAAGAGTGCAAGGGTGCACACAATGGACGATCAGCTTGTCAAAACCCAACGTAAAAATTTTAAATAGGACAGGCCATTGATTCTGATCCTGCACTGATTGATTCTGTGCCAGCCTCTACAGCGAAACACCAGGGCCCAGTTCCAGACCCCCCCCCCACCCCCTCTACCCACCTCCGCCCCATAACCATGGCGATGTGCTGATTTACCTTTTTTTTTTACGATCGATACACATCAGTAGCTTTTTTCCCCTGAGACGGACAGTAAACGGCCCGCGGGTGATGTATCAGTGAGGAATACATTCGCATTAACATACGTTCAGTGTGTGGAGAACACATTGTCCCTACAGAAACAAAGCCTTATCACACCATGTGTCATCTTTCGGCACAGGAAACCATTCCATTGTACTCTGCTTGTTTTACACGATGGAGCATAGCCACTAGGCCAGCACAGAGCTGGGAGTGGGATTCTAGGAACAGACAGACAGTATCGTCAGTCTCTACTTTATAATGC